AGGCGGGGGCGGAGGAAGCCTGGCTTGGACCGCAGGGAACCAGGGGTGGGCTGAAGTAGAGCCCCACAAGAAGAGGGGACCGGAGGGGTAGAGGAAGGAGCAGGAGGAAGTCCCAGGGCAGGGCTAGGGGCTAGAGGCAGGTTCGGAAGTCCCAAGGGAGGATGGGAAGGTTCTAAGGATGGGGCTCCGACGTTCCGAGGATGGAAGAATGAATGAGACGATAAAAGAAATGCTATGCAGCCTGGGAAAAGCCTGGGTCTTATTTTCCTGCCTTACTGTGACTCTTCCTACAAGGTTCTGCTGTCCCCTCCTCCAGGAAGGCCTCCCTGATCCCCCAGACTGGGTCAGGTACCCTCTGGTTTTCCCCATCCCTGCCCTGCCCACTCTGGGTGGTTGCTGCCTTGAGATGTGTCTTTCTTCCCTTCTGGACTGTGAGCCCAGTAAGGACAACTCTGGCTGGCTGGGTCACCACTGTGCCCCTCGGCACCGCAGAGGTGTGGGGTAATGTTTGTTGAACAGATCATTGTGTGACCCCTATTGCCAGCGGGACAGGATCCGTCTGCTATGTGCTCAGGGATGTTCTAAGCCAAGAAGCAAGGGTTCCACAATATTGCTTCTTTTCTCCCATCCTAATCTTTGCGCCCTCCCTTCCTGGGAGACTTGGGGCTGGCTTTTCTCCTCTGACGGTCCCGTGGTTCCTCTATACCAACACGGGCTGGCCGTGGCTTGCAGCGCAAGCTCACTGAATAAGCAGCTCAGGGAAGAAAGGCCACCAGGCCGACACTAGGGCCAGGCAAATGGGGTGATTTACCCCCAGCCCCTGGGGCCACAATTCAGACTCGGGTCTGAGCTCAGGGAGGGTTTGACCCAGGGAGAAGCTGCTGTTAAACATGGCTAAGGTTCAGCCAATTTCTTCAACGAACATCTCTGTTAGGTGTCTTGTGGGGGCCAGGCCCTGAGCCGGGGCTAAGGAGACAAGAGATGGACCCTTGGGGGGCACAGGCCAGTGTGAACTTGCAAGAGCCTGTAGCCTTAATGGGGAACCTAGGCTTTCTCCCTAGGGCACTGGGGAGCCATGGAGGGCTTTTGAGCAGGGGAGGGACAAAGGGAGATGTATATTTCAGAAGGTTTCCTTGGGGTGGGTGGGAAGGAGACAGACTGGAGGTGAAGAAGCAAGGAGGAGACTGGAATGGGAGCCTAGGCGGCGGGGAGGCTGTGGGCTTGGGCACGGACCTGGTTCGTGCTGAGATGGACTGTCTGAGCTGGGCAGGCTGGCCCCAGAGGCACGTGGGTCCTGGGGGACCGTTGGGCTGGGCCGGGCCCAGAGGCTGTTTCCCACCCCTCCCCCAACACAATCCTCACAGGTGATTTTGTCCAGCATCATGTGCAGACGGCAGCCGAAGGGGGCGTAGAAACCCACGGTCACCGGGACGGGCACGTGGCACAGGGTCTTGGCCAGGCAGCTGCAGTAGATGTCATCCTCTGTCAGAATGTCTGGGGCCGGAGGTGCAGGGCAGGGAGGGGAAACTGAGTCAGTGAGGCCGGCCTGGCACCACCCTCCTCCCCGTCCGCCCCCCACAGGCGCCTTCTGCCCCTCTCTGCACCAGTATCCCTGTGCCCCAACTTCCTGAGGGGCCTCCGGTCAGACCTTCTGACTGGGGGTTTCTGTGGCCACAGACAGTCTGCCCCTTGGGGTCCCACACGAGGAGCTGGCCCTAGCTCTGCCCGTCAGGGGTTGGAGATGGACTTCCCCCAGCCTGGCCCAGAGGCTGCCCTCGTCCTAAACTATCAAGCCTGACCACCAGCGTTGCTTGAACACAAGCCCCTCAGATGCCTAGGATACCACTGTCCGCCCAGCAACCCCCTCCCCCTGCCAGCTCCTGCTTGTTGCCCTCACTTAGCTCCAGTGTGGATGGGTCCCAGGGACTCCAGGCTTCTCTCTCTGCTTCTCACCCTCACACAGTGCCCCCTGACTTCTCTCCCTCCCCATAATCCCAAACCTGCCCAGAGCACAGGCCTGGAGAGACAAAATCTTGGCCACTTTTTTCTGCACGTCCTGGCCAGACCGACAGCCTCTGGGAGGCTCAGTCTTATCCTCTGGGGAATGGGGCTAACGGTGCCCGTTCCCCTCGTTAGGGTACAGAGGCCTGGGAGCGGGAATGCTGAAGAGCCACCCAGCCGGCCCTCAGCAAATGCCACCATCTTAAATGGCTATTAAGGGCCTAGAGCCTGGTTGGGTCCTGGCTCTGTGGGGCCTCGGATGTGTGTGTGGGAGTGATACACGCACTGTCACAGAAGCCTGGTGGGCTCGGCTCTGTCTCCCAGTGGGGCCCAGCAGGAAGGCAGGGGGAGGACAAGGTGGTGGAGCAGGCAGGGTGGATCTGCGCCCGGCTCTGACCTCACCTCTACTTCCCCGTGTGTGAAACGGGCATCTTGGCCAAGAGGCTCCAGGGAGTGACAAGGTCATGCCCTGGGAGCCTGGCCCAACCCGGACCTGAGTTCTTGCTCTGCTATTGTTCTTTCAAAACAGACCTAGAAACTGGCTGTGTCGCCCCACTCCCGCCGCCACCACCCTGGCCTGGCCTCCATTCCTCAGTCCTACACTATTACAGTCGCCGCCTCACTGAGCGGACAGCTTCCGCCCTGGCATCCTGTGAGATCCTGAGTTGGTTCACGCTGCCTCTGGGTCCGCCTTGCTCCCCGCTTGCTCAGGGTGACAGCGAATCCTCACCTTGACCACCAGGCCCTGCTGACCCACTGCCTGATGCCCCTTCTGGCCTCTCTCTGTAACTGCAGCCACACTGGTGGCCTCACTGTGCCCCCACCACGCCATGCCTCTTCCCGAGTCTGCGTGTGCCGCCTCTGCTGCTGGGACGGGCTGCAGAGAGCCACCTGGGCTCTGCCTGCGCACGTCTCCCGATGACCCTGTCTAATCTGCAGACCCTGACGCGTTCCATCTCCTTCCCGGCCTCATCCCTCTCCAGGGTGGTTATGATCCCCAGGTGACATAGTTAACTTTCCTTATTTCTCTTGTTGGTTTGCTGTCCCCATCTCCAAGCCCTAACAGAGTATGAGCTCCATGGTGGCAGGGATGTCTGTCTGTCCTGCATCCCCAGAATAGCGCAGGTGTTCACACTGCGTAGTTGGGGAATGAGTGAATGAGTGGCTGAATGAAACGATGAATGAATGCATGAGTGAGTGGATGAATGAATGAGTGTGTAAACAAATGAGTGGGTGAATGAGATAGTGAATGTGAATGAATGAATGTGCAATGAATGGATTAGTGAGCGAGTGAATGAATGAGTAGATGAATGAATGAGTGGGTGACTGAGATAATGAGTGAATGAATGAATGAGTAGATGAATGAATGTGTGGGTGACTGAGATAATGAGTGAATGAATGAATAGATGAATGAATGTGTGGGTGACTGAGATAATGAGTGAATGAATGAATGAGTGCACAGATGAATGGATCATTGAGTGAATGGATGAATGAGTGGGTGAAGGAGATGATGATTGAATAAATGAGTAAGTAAATGAATGAGTGGACCCCACGTACGCCGCTCACTCCCTCAATCCCCGGTCACTTCCTACCTCCTACTGTGGTTCCATATTTGCCCTGTTCCCCTCACCACAGCTGGCCAAAGCTGGCATTCGGCACCCCACCCCATGTGCCCCCCACGGCCTGCTGGGCCAGGGGAGGTGGGGCTGGGGAAGAGAGCAGAGCGAGGCCTTCACCACGAGTCAGGGCGCCCCAGCAGGGCCAGGGGAAGGGCCAGGAGGAAGCACTGGGGGCAGGCCCAGCCAGAAGCCTCAGATCCGGACAGCTGAGCAGAAAGTGCCCTGGCCTGAGACCCGGGGGCAGGGGGGTGCCCTCCAGGACGGGGCCCCGAGTGCAGGATGAGGAGGGCAGGCCCAAGGCGCTAGTCAGGGAGCAAGAGGCCCAAGTGGGCAGCAAGGTGGCAAAGCCAGGGACAGGCTCCCAGGAAGGCCTGGGTCAGCACCGGCGCTGTAGGAGGTGAAAGGGCCGCAGGCCGCAGGGACAGGCAGGGGCCGGTCGTCGGTGGGCTCGCTGGGCTCCAGGAGGGTGCCGGCTGCCGAGGGTGGGGCTGGGCTGCTGCTGGCCATGGCGGGGGCGCCGGAGAGTGCAGGGGACGGCTGGGGGGCGCTGGCCCGGCCAGCGAGTGAGGTGGTGGGTGCACGGCTGTGTGAGGTGAGAGGTGCCGGCGGCTCCAGAGCCCTGGCTGGGCCCGTGAGGGCAGCCCCGGCTGCAGGCAGCCCCCTCTGGGCCCCGTGGGTGGGACCGAGCCGCTGCTGCAGGAACCCGGCAGGCGCAGGCTGGGGCTGCCGCTGCTGCTGCACCACTGGTGGCCAGAGGGCCCAGTGCCAGCTGCCCCCGCCGCCTCGCAGGCCGTGACAGGCCAGCTGCCAGCGGGGCTGGGGGATTAGCTGCCAGGGCCTGTGGGCTGGAGGGGCTGCTGGGTCGTGGCGCCATGGGTGATGACATCCTGGAAGGAAGGAAGTGGAGTGACTGGGCCTGGGTCCCTGACAGGAACCGATGGAGGCTGGGGCTGGAGCATTTGAGGGCACTTGAGGCCCTGGAAGGACCCGGATGCAAAGGGAGGGGGAGTGGACAGAGAAGGGGCCTGCTTTCCGGTTGTGGGATGGGGGTGGGAGAGGTGCAGGGCTGGTCTGCAGCCAGGCAGGGGGCTGGAGAGAGACTCAGTGGTGGGTGGGCAGTCCCTGCTCCCTCAGATTCCTGGGCCTGTGGGGGAACCCCCAGTGAAGACTGAGAGGAGTCCTTGGGGAGCTGACCTGGCTGGTCCAGAGGACGCCAGAGTGATGAGAGGTGGCCGTGGAGAAGGGTCAGGCCAGCTGGGAAGAAGTGGGTGGGTGGCCCTGCACCTGGCCAGGCTGGCAGGGAGAGTGCTGACCTGGGACATGCAGGCCACAGGCCTGAGGAGGCTAAATCAGCCATAAACAGAAAAAAAAAAGAACTAACTCACTGCCATCGAGTCAAATCTGACTCATGGCTACTACCCTCATTGGGTTTCCAAGGCTATAAATCTTTATGGGAGTTGATCACCCCATGTTCCTTTCGCAGAGCAGCTGGTGGGTTTGAACCACTGACCTTCTGGTTAGCAGCCAAGTGCCTTATCCACTACGCCACCAGAGCTCCTTGAATCAGCCATAATGGGCTGTAATTGTCCACCTCCCCATGCTCCTCCCAGCCTGGGCAGGTGCACCTGCAGTCACAGAGGAAGCTGACCCCCCGCACACACCCATCACTGATAGACACTCAGTGCTGAAAGCCCCCTCCAGGATCCCCCTCCTACTCCCCCCAGGTTGGGGGGCTGTCTCCACGGGCCAGGAACTTGGGGAGGGAGAACTGTTCCCCAACGGGGAAAAGAGCAGGCTGAGGGGGCCTGCCTTGCTCCTGTGCCCCCTCCCCCATGTCCTGGGTCCCCGCATTCGGTCCCACTGCGTGGAAACCTCTGTGGGGAGGTGTGGCTTCTGTCCGGGGTCCTCAAGTTCTCTGCCGTTCAGCAGCTCCCACTCACAGACCTCTTTCCCGCCACGACCCCCCAACAAGTGAACCCCTACCTCTTTGGTGCCCCAACTCCGGGTCCAAGAAGTAGGTCTCGGCGGGGGCGCAGTGGGGCAGGGTGCCCTTGGAGCAGGGGACCTGGTAGGGTTGCGGCATGCTTCCGCTCCTGGGGGCAGGGGAGAGGGGATGGCTCGGTGCTCAGCGGGCTTGGTGGGCGTGAGCAGCAGAGATCTGAGACCCTGCCCTGCCCCTGGGACAGCTCCACGTGCCTTGGATCAGGGAGAGGTCCTGTCTCCCCCACACCAGGTTCCTGGGACACTGAAGTGGGGGTCAGGCAGTGCTGATTAGATGTAAGTGAGAGAAGGTTGAGGGCTAATATGAGTTTGTACTGGCAAGAGTCCCCCCGGGCTGGGTGTTTGGGCGCCCCTGGGTGGGGAGGGCTGGGAGCAGGGATGCTGATGTAACTGGAAGAAAATGAAGGTGCTGCGAGGCCCCTGTGGGGGTCGCGAGGCCAGCACTCTTTGAAGGGGCATATGAAACCTTTGTGGACGGAGTTGGGGGACAGCTGAGCAGATGGCCTGCCATTCAGAGCCGGGTGTATTTGGGAAGACGG